CATCCAACTAAGTTAATGAGTCTACTCACCTGACTCGGATTACATGTTACTGACTCACGAACGAGTTGGCTTGCTTGGGCCATAAGGGTTCAGTGGTCCCCTAGTTATAATTGAAGGGCCTGTTGGAAAAAACCCTAAATTTTTGTTACCACTTCCGACCAAACACTAGCCGACAACCATTCGACAATACTCCCTTTTCCCTTCACTGTCTCCCATGGATCCTACCCTACCACCATCACCAGATACTATAAACTCCAATAACTCGATAAGCTCAACAGACAAACTTAACTTAAACGATTTGCACATTTCTGTGACAATGGTGGAAAGATAGCTGAGCAACAATGTCAGGTGGAGCGTATGAAGGAGGAGATGGATCGCGATTACCTTCATTCCAGGGTGGATGTCCTCAACATGAGACTCAAACATGGATAGGGACATAAAGGACCATGTCACACCAATGTGGATACACTAACACTTCCTTTAAGAGACGGCAACCTTGATGAGGTCAAACAAAGATATGTTTGGCCACGGGGATGCGGATGCGAACTCCGATACCATGAAGTTTTGTATAATTGTTTGCCCTCTTTCATTTGTTCACGTCATATATAAATACATGAAATCCCTCTATTTTAGGGATGGATATAAGGATATCAAAAATACGAAGAAGATAAATACTAGATAATAATATAGTTTAATAGAGATTGTCAGAAATACGAAGAATATCAAAAATACGAAGAAGATAAATACTAGATAATAATATAGTTTAATAGAGTTTGTCAGAAATACGAATAAGTCTAACAGAGAGTGTGTCTGTGTCATCCACTTTATCAATAATATTGCAGAGGTTAAGTGTATACATCTTAATAATTATAGGGGATATATTGCGAAAGTTTAGTAGCTTAACAATATCACACATACGTCATACAATATAGATGAGAGATGGTTTAATAAGAAGATTCACGCTGGATTATATATAAACACTCAAACACATTGTATGGTAATTCAGTATTCTATTATCATTGTCTTTTTCTTGCATGGTTATACGATATTGAAAAAGTACGTACTTTAGATTGATATAGATTCTTGTTGCATACTTGCATTTAAGTTCACTTCAACGTGTTTGTAGACTAGTAGTACGTACAGTAAGTACTCTTGTAGTACCACAATTGAGAATACCAACCATTCATAAAGCCCAACCATAATATGGGTGGGCTATTGTTAGTCATCCATAATGCTGTAACCATAGGCCCATAATGAAGGTCTATAGTAACTCCATTACAACAATGTTATCAAAACTTCTATTTTAGCATAAACATAATTTCGATCATCATGGAATATCTCCCGAACAGAAAAGAAACTATAAAGTATATACCTTTTTTTTTTTTACATTAGTTTTGCAATTCATTATTATTAAAAATTCAAATACTCGAATAAACAAATACGTTGAGCAGCATTCAATATGGAATTCACTTCGGATGTCAATGTGCTTTTTTCTATCATCTTACTTTCAAGAAAGATATTTCCAATCTTGCTTATCACTTTTTATGAACTTATCTATGAAAAAAGTTTATCTTTTTCCACCTCCCCATAAAGGTATTGCATAAAAAAATTATAAAAATTGTACAAAAAATAATAAAAAAATTCCAAGAGTTTCCACGAACCAACCAGCAGTTATACATCAACAACAATATTATAAAAAAAAAAATAAAAGTAAAAATCCCCACATAGCATTATGATTAACAACACTAAAGTAAAGAAAAAGTTGTCTACATTCTTAGACAATAGTCGTCAACATCGTGGCCTTCCTTTATCATCTCTCCACCACTTTCTTTTCATCTATCTTTTCTTGAATTACCATTTTTGCCCTTTGTGCACCATCTCAAGCCATTCATGCTTCCAGAAGAAGAAACAAAATGATCAAGAAATCCACGCTAAGTTAATAAACAAATAACAAGAATGAGAAGATGATCAAGAAGATCGCAGCCGTCGATTTTATTCTGCCACCCGTGGATGAAGATCTATCGGGGCTATGAGGTGGCTTCTTGTAGTAAAAAGGAAACCATGGAACTATAGGGTCTGGAGCTGGAGGTCCATTACCATAGTAGTTAGGGTTTGGAGGGTTATATGGGAATATACCGGAAGGTGGAGGGAAATACCCTGTTTGAGAAGGCGGCGGATAGGTTGTTGTTGTCGGAGTATTCCCTCCTCCTCCTCCACCACCACCGCCTCCAGTTGGTGGTGGGTAGCATGGGTATGGACACTCTTGAGCCACCCCTTGATCAGCCTGAGAATTTGGTGTGAAAAATAGAGACAATGAGAGAATTAGGTAGAGTATAGATGCCATTTTGGTGTGAAAAATAGAGAAAATGAGTATGGTGTGAGGTAGATAAAAGGAAGAGAATAAGAAAAAGCCAAAGAGGGTTGGAGAGTTGTTGTTTAAGTGGAAGTTAACAGTCAACAAAAGGGTAGAATTTTATGAACTCTAAGAGGGAAATATTGCAATATTTAGGGTCACTTTTGTTTAGGGTGAGGGGCCACATTTGCATATCATGCATAATGACCGAGTCATGCTAAATTAGGTAGAGATTATTAACTCAATCCCGAGTGATGACTCTGTATTGATTAGGAATCATAGTTGGCAACGACAATATATAAAGTATTTACATGCAAAGCCAAAAGAGGAACTTGGAGGATTGCGTTGTCTTTGGTTTCTCATTAATTTTCTAGTAGATTAGAGATAGAATTTGCTACTAATGCTACGTACATACATCTAATGGGGTATATAATTTAATGGGAATATCTTCATATTTTGTTAAAAGAATCTAAAAAGTGAGTCGAGTGAAAGAGAAAAGAATCATTTGGCCAAAATCTCTTCATATATAGTTTATTGCTAAAAATCGTAAATTAAGACATTATGGTATATATGTACGATGAGCATGCAAACCGGTGGACTTGACCGGTATGGTTCTTAGATTGTCCATTTTCCGTTTCCGGATTTTTGACAGGTTCGGTTTGGCGGTTCCAGGTATTGAGCCTGTTTGTATCGAAAATTAGCATAATCTTAATCAAATATTGGAAAATTTTAAAATTGGTCATCATTCATTTGTTTCGAGTCAGATATATATGAAATTTTTCGCGACATGTAATTTAAAGTTTGTACTTCCTTTTAGATTATAATTTCTATATTTTTGGTTTCATATTCACTGAATTATAGTATCTAAAGTTGGGATATAGATACTGAAAAATTTAGGGGTTTTTCAACTTTTAGATGTAGCTATTTTTGAATGAATAGGGTTATTAATGAAACCATTTTTTTTATCGTTTATGTACTTTTTTTGGTAAAGAATTTTGACTAAACTGCACAAATGGTCCCTGTGGTTTGCTCAAAATTGCTACTTTAGTCCAAAAAGGTTTGGACTAGCACCAGAGGTCCAAAGTTTTCACTTTGTTGCTTGTTTGGTCCAAACTGTTTTGGTTTTTTTCAAAATGACGAATTTGCCCCTGTTAATATTATTTTCTTTTTTTTTTCTTATTTTTTTTATTTCCAGATTTAAAAAAATAAATAAAAATAAATCTCTCTCTCTCTCTCTCATATTATTTTTATGATTTTCAGATTTAAAAAAAATAAAAAATAATAATAAAAATAAATCTCTCTCTCTCTCTCTCTCTCTCTCTCTCACAAATCCATCAAATTTTCCACAGAAAACCTAGTCTTTACTTGAAATAACCATCGGAGAACAAAAACGGCCACTGAAGAAGACGAACAGAGAAAATAGTGGTGAATCCGGCGACTCTGACGTCTAGCACGAGAATGTGTTCAGCGACTTCGATGTATGGCAACCAATATGTCTGCTCAGATCTAGTCGTTCCTATCATCAACGTCGTATTCCCCACAAAGAAACCCTTACCACGAGTGTTGCAACCACTGTCTTGAAACCCTAACAAAAATGTGAAAACCATCAAAGGAAAATCTCTCTCTCTCTCTCTCTCTCTCTCTCTCTCTCGATCTTCCTCAGAAAACCCTAGATCTTTCATATCTTCGTTCTTCACCATCGATTTTTCTCTGGTTGACGAAGGCTATCAAATCAGAGGGTTTTCAAGATCAAAGGGTTTTCATAGAGGTTCAACAGTAGAGGCGATGTGGACCAGTGGTTGTGGTAACAACTCCGACGAAGGGTTTCCAGATCGAAGGGTTTCTAGATCGACGACTCTGCTGGCTCCGATGAAGGGTTTCTAGATCGACGACTCCAATAGGTTGGGGTATTTGGGTTACTATGAATCTGACGATAAGCACAATGAAAACGGGAGGGGGTTGTTGCCCTCTTGATAACCGAAAAACACCACCTCCGGTGGAGGTTTTCTCGATTAAAACAGAAGAAGAAGAAGAAGAAGGGACGCAGTAACAATAAGTATGGGAGGGAGGAAGGGAGGGAGGGAGGGAGGGAGAGAGAGAGAGAGAGAGAGAGAGAGAGAGAAGAGAGAGAGAGAGAGAGAGAGGGGAGAGAGAGAGATTTATTTTTATTATTTTTTTAAAATATAAAAATTAGAAAAATAAATATAAGAGAGAGACAGATTTATTTTATTTTTATTTTTTATTTTTTATTATTTTTAATCTGGAAGTTAGAAAAAAAAAAGAAAAAAAAGAAAATCATATTAACAGGGGCAAATTCGTCATTTTGAAAAAAATCAAAACAGATTGGACCAAACAAGCAACAAAATAAAAACTTTGGACCTCTGGTGCTAGCATAAACCTTTTTGGACCAAAGTGTCAATTTTGAGTAAACCATAGGGACCATTTGTGCAGTTTAGTCAAAGAATTTTCAATGTACTTTTATTTCGTAGAAGTACACTTATCATATATATGTTTACATTGTACTATATAATAAAGTTTTAAAATTCATCGTATGTCATTCATTATTAAAAGACATGGTGACAAGTTGATTTTTAACCTACATGGTGTCTTGGTTGGCAATAGTTGTAATTGAGACATTTTAAGCCTTCATCACATGTTTGTCTTCTTCCTCATTGATGGCTCTTGTTATTTTACTAAAGTTCTTCTCAGAATAGTAATGTATATTCAAAGCGAATATTAAAGATCAAATGTTTTAAATAACTTCTCATAATTTTTTACAATAAAGTTAGACGTGGATGTACGATTTGCGCTTGAGAATAATTCTAGTACCGAGTTGAGAAAATTCAAATTCAAATACGGAAACAGTAGACACACTTTGCTCTTCCTACGTCATCTACGGATCAATAAAAAGGTAATTTAATGTTAGCTACGATAGAAAGTACTATTGATTCAATATCCACAAGGGGTTTTATACTCGAAGAGAGATTTGTTGGGCAAGAAAGAAACCTACATGTAGAGTTGAGAATTTGGTTCGAAAACACCAACCGAACCGAAATCAGAACTGAACCAAACCAAATTAGGCTCGAATAAGCGATTCGATCCGGGTTTCAGGTATCTATATTATTCTTATCCGTTTTTCGGGTCGGTTCGAATTACCCAAATAAGAGCTTATTCGGTTCTAAATACCCAACCCGAATAAGCATTCCTCGTACCCTTTCTTTTTATCGACATAAATCAAAATCACGATTCACACTTTTTTCCTCGTCCTTTTAAAATCGACCAATCTTTTCAACTATTTCAAAACTCGAAATCACTTCTGTAGATCATTTCTCTTGTTTCAGACTTTCAAAAATCGACCATTCTCATTGTCTCTAAGAATTCACAAATTCTTACTTTGTCTAGTAATAGAAAATTAGGCTCCAACTCAAGAAACTTAAGTAACAAATTAATTATTATTATATTAATCTACTATGCAAATGTTATTCTTCCAATGTGTTATTGTGTTATATTAGTCTTTAAATATTTTACGTTGATGTATAAAAGTACATTGTTATATTAGGTCCTTAATTATGTTGTACATGTTATTCGGGTAATAACCGAACCCGATTAATACCCGAAACGAACCGAACTCGTATTGGTTAATCGGTTCTGTTTTGGGTTCATGCAATTACCCTTATTAGTAATAGGAAGTTGGTACGTCCCAGGTACACAAGCCCATAGTTGAAGCCAACACCATCGATCCAACCCACCACACCAGTCAAATTATGCAATCCAACAGGCCAAGAGGTCCATCTGATTTGAGCATACAAGCCACATTTCAATTCCATGTTTTGCTAATTCCTAGGAACCCTTGCATTATTTAATTACAATTTGTACTGCATTTTGGGAATATAACAAAAAATTGCTCTAACTGATCTGTAACAACCGGTTATTTCGGGTTAATAAAAGACATATAAGTCAAACAAAAGTCAAATAAGTACAATCAAAATTTAATAATGAAAATTCACATTACTTTTTGAGATTTTCGGTTTTGAAAATCAAAATCACCATTTAAGCCGAAAACACCTTGGACCGAAATCCCAACCTTAGATCGAGAACTACTTGATCCGGGAACCTCTTGACCGAGAACTCCTTGGACCGAGAACCTCTCTAGACCAAAGACTTGAAGTTCTCGGTTAGAGTTTAGACCGAAAACATGAGAATTTCGGTGGCTTTGAGGCCGAAATCTCATTACTGGATATGATATTGTTTTTCCCAATGTGATAAATTACACACTTCATTGCATATGTCACATCACCTTTACACTATATATATATATATATATATATATATATATATATATATATATATATATATATATATATATATATATATATATATATATATATATATATATATATATCAGTGTTGTAAATACCGGCCTAGGCGGCCGCCTAGGCGCTTGGCGGTCTGCAACTGATTACGATTAGGGGTGTTTGGCGGAAATTGGTTATACTCGGTTTAGGCGGTCCTTGGCGGTCTTCGGCGCTCCTAGGCGAGAAAATTTTCAAATTTTCAAAATTTCAAATATTACACCAAAATTAACAAAATTTCAAAATTTTAAATCTTTAAATATTCAAAATTTCAAATGTTATACCAAATATTTAATAGTTTCAAATTTTCAAAATTTTAAATATTAAAATACTAATTTTCATAGGATATATTAAATTTTAAAATAGTTTTATTAGTAATTTAGGATCTCCGATTAATCTCCGCCAAACCGATTAATCGCTTAACACCAATCTACCTCCGAGCTACCTCCGAACGATTTTTACAACCATGATTATTGAGACCATTTTAATTTTGTGAGACCGTGAGACCAAATCTAAAAATAATTTTAAAATGTAAAATAAATGGAAAAATCCAAAAAAAAAATTAATATTATTTTCGGAACTTAAATTAACTAAAAATAAAAAAATAATAATAAATAATAAATAAAAAAAAATTCCATT